TGAGGCAACCAGCTTAAACCAGCCCTCAAAACAGGGTGCTGTGGCTGACACTTGTAATCCTAGCACTCTGGGTGGCCCAGGCAGGCAGGTCGCTCAAGGTCAGGAGTTGGAAACCAGCCTGAGCAAGAGCAAGACCCTGTCTCTACTATAAATAGAAAGAAAGTAATTGGCCAACTAATATATATAGAAAAAATTAGCCGGGCATGGTGGCGCATGCCTGTAGTCCCAGCTACTCGGGAGGCTGAGGCAGAAGGATCGCTTGAGCCCAGGAGATTGAGGTTGCTGTGAACTAGGCTGACCACGGCACTCACTCTAGCCTGGGCAACAAAGTGAGACTCTATCTCAAAAAAAGAAAAAAAAGAAAAGAAAAGAAACAGCCCATATCATGAGCATACTTACCTGGCCATCTCTTATCACAGAGTGATTGAGAGTAATAAGCTCTCATTCTGGCTCTTTTGCAGATGGAAGAGAAAGACTACATATTTATTTTATCCATCACTTTGCTTTTAACAAAAATCAAAATTTATTATCCTCTTACATTTTTTAATAATAAAGCCTTCAAGATACCATCATAAAATTTCCAAAAGAATTCCAGACCACCAATGAGGAAATCCCAACTTCCCTACTTCCAGGTTGGCTTTTCTGTAAGGTGCAATAAAGTTAGGCTCTCAGTTTACACTGAGAGGCATGATACAGTTTTTTTGAGCATGACTTTTATCTCTTGCATTTTTCCATCATATTGTTTTGTGAAACACTTTAAACATTTTATTGAAATGATAGGTGACACAAAAAAGTAAAACTCCATGTATTCCTTGAATGACTAATTTAATCTAGATGGCAGGATATTATAGGAAAAAAAAAATCCAGATGAACACAAAGCACATTACTAACATTTTACCCTGGGGAGATAGCTGATGGAATAGATGAGAAGTGGGTGCCAAGATACATTGATGCTGGCCCAGCGCGGTGGCTCACGCCTGTAATCCTAGCACTCTGGGAGGCCAAGGCAGAAGGATCCCTCAAGGTCAGGAGTTCAAGACCAGCGTGAACAATAGCGAGACCCCGTCTCTACTACAAATAGAAAGAAATTAATTGGCCAACTAATATATATAGAAGAAATTAGCCGGGCATGGTGGTGCATGCCTGTAGTCCCACCTACTCGGGAGGCTGAGGCGAAAGGATTGCTGTCAAAGAATGGGATGACAGGAGGGCACCGTACATATTCATAGAAGATTCTGACGGAGATGGGGTCTGGAGGAACAGACTGTCACCACCTGGGTATTAGCTAAACCGGTGCACCGTGCATGAGATTATCAAGGACCTCACAGACGGCCAGGGTCACGCAGAGAGACTTATTTAAGCTGTAGCCCACGTACCCCAAAGGAGATTTCTGAGTCGTTCCTCCCAGGGAAGCCTGTTCCTGCGCCTGCCTGGGTACAGCCCAGGCGCACACCCTCCCTCCTCCACAGCCCTCCACAGCCCCCTCTGGCAGACTGAGCAGGAAATATGTAACCGTCTCTGCTGGCACTTCCCTTCTGTGTGTGAGGCAGTGTAGGTGGAAAAATCCTGGAAACTTTGTAAATAGAGAAGACAGGCAAGCCCTGGATCTGGAATCACGTCCTTCATAAGGAAGAAGTTATTAAAAGTGCCTGAGAAGCTACAGCCAAGACTAGTCAGCAAGTCCCGACAAAGGCAAGACGAGAATAGTCAACCATCTCCAGAATCAGCCACTGATTAAGCTAGAGGAGCGTCAGCGGGGAGGTGATTAGACACAAAGACCAGGGATCCACCCTTCCGGCCCCGCCCCTCGCAGGCCTCCCGCACCTCCAGGCAGAGGTGCAATCAGAGAGGACGATGGGAAATGTCCTCGGGAGCCGCTGATTGGCTGGCTCCATTGATTGGATCCATCAGGAATCTGTCCAATAGGAGGACGGAAAGGAGCCGCTCCACGGGTATATAAGGTGTGGAGGAGGCCGATGCGGACGCCACAAGTGAGCGGACCCGTCGTGCGGTTGCGTGTTCTGGCCTGGACCAAGGAGGAGTCATCAGTCCGTGTCGGTGCAGAGGGAACCACCGCCACCGCTGACTTGGGACGTGAGGGTTCCTCCTGACCCCCTTCGGAGCCTGGAGCAAGTGGAAGGAGAGTTGGCCTCGGGGTGCCCCTGGCAGCACACGAGCAGGTGAGCTGGGACCCAGGAGAGGGCAGGAGCTCGGGCGGCCCGGGTGTGGGGTGACCCTGCCGGGGCGCCTCCCCACAGTCCATGAGGACGAAAGTGGGGAACTGACCTAACCAGGGTGGTGTGGGAGCTACTCTGAGGACGTGCTGGTTAGGTTCACGTTGAGGTCACCTGAACGGCAGGGTGGGGGTGCGGGGGAGTTGAGAAGAGGCTGCAGTCGTTGGGAGGGAGGGGAAGGTCCGGCAGTGGTTATGGACGTGACCCGAGCCATTAGAACACCAGCCCTAATGCCTGGCCTTGCTCTTGCCACAGACTTGATTCATCTCAGTTCGGGAGAGTTCTGAGGCCTTAGAGGAATCCGGACTGGCAGAGAGATGGGATTAGAGTGGGAGGAGAATGGGAGCAGATTCGTGTCCATTGTGAAGAGGAAGAGACTAGGAGACACAAGGGATTTTAGAGCTCTAAAATGTAGGCGAGTGAAAGATGAGATTCTAGGAGGACGTTAAGAGATGAAGCTGTCTTGGCTAGGGAAATGGCTACACTTTGACAGTAATGGTTAGCCTTCTAAATAATGTTTTTTCTTAGAGAACGTATGAGGTACGTAAAATGGTAGGAAAATTAGTACCATAAACAGTATGTACATATCCACAAATTTATGTCCCAATCCCTGTACTCCGGAAACTGTTGAGGCAAACCCTAGACTAAATACAATTTTATGGATACATGCTGCACTATGAATGTCAGATGTCCAGAGTCTCTTATTCATAAATAAGTTGAAATCATTTTCAGACATGATAATTAATTTTCATTATGAGATTTCCTCTGTCTCCATTGAATTTCTTTTTTCTTTTTTTTTTTTTGAGACAGAGTCTCACTTTGTTGCCCAGGCTAGAGTGAGCCTCAAACTCCTGGGCTCAAGTGATCCTCTTGCCACAGCCTCCCGAGTAGCTGGGACTACAGGCATGCGCCACCATGCCCGGCTAATTATTTCTATATATATATTAGTTGGCCAATTAATTTCTTTCTATTTTTAGTAGAGACAGGGTCTCGATTTTACTCAGACTGGTTTCAGACTCCTGACCTGGAGCAATCCGCCCGCCTCAGCCTCCAAGAGTGCTAGGATTATAGGCTTGAGCCACTACGCCCAGCCGACTTTTATTAATGTGAAAAATAATTGTGTTTAAATCAGGAAAAAGTTAACTATTTTGATTCATGTACATGTTCTTCATTGCTTTAATATATATTATTCTCTTTTCTTCTCTTTTTTTTTTTTTTATGTAGACGAAAGCTAATTTAATGTCCTGGTGAATGTCCCACAGTGTGGAATGTTTTACGTGGCTATGTATTTCCATTGCTTCTAGAAACTGTGGCTCTTCATAATGAAGACAACTAAATAGCCAAGCTTGAAGTTGAGGTGGATCCAGTGCCAAGGCACCATCAGTAGGAGCCTGGGGACCCCAGCAGCTTCTGGCAGCTGCTTCTAGAGCTGAAGGGAAAGAAGCAGATACACGCTTGTGGGGTTATAGTTTCCTGGGACCCAGGAAAGGCCTCGGGTTGCTTTGAGGAGCTAGAGTGGTGAGGAATCAGCAGTTTCCAATTACAGCTCCTGAAAGAAGTCTCCTCAGACAGATCCCTGCCTACAAAATGGCCTTTGCAGCCTCCCTGGCTGAGCTCCAAGCAGAGGCCAGCTGCTCCATCTGCCTGGATTACCTGAGAGACCCAGTGACCACTGACTGTGGGCACAACTTCTGTCGCTCCTGCATCTACCAGTGCTGGGAAGACCTACAGGATGTCTTCCCCTGCCCTGTCTGCCTCTACCACTGCCCTGACAAGACCCTCCAGAAGAACATCCAATTGTGCCACATAACTGATGCTGTTAAGCAGCTTCCCACCCCCAGGAGGAGCAAGAGAAAACGACAGGAAGAGGAGCCCCTGTGTGAGAAGCACAGTCAGATTCTGACTTTGTTCTGTGAGAAGGATCTGGAGCTGCTGTGTCCCCAGTGCAGGGTCTCCTGTGACCAGCAGGGTCACCCCCTGACACCCATTGAGCAAGCTGCAGCTACTCACAGGAAGAAGCTCAAAAGCTATCTTGAACCACTAAGGAAGCAAGTTGAAGATACAAAAAGGCAGTGTGAAATTCCAGTTTTAAAAACTTTTGACATGAGGTGGAAGTTAGAACACTGCAGTAGGGAATTGCAGTCTGAATTTGAAGAACTTAAGCATTTCCTGAGAAAGGATCGAGTTGCAATTCATAACAGGCTATGCACTGAAGAGAAGGGTGTTGAAGAAAAACTGCTTGAAAACCGAAGCCAAATTTCAGACCATGTATCAACACTAAAACATCTGTTATATGAAGTAAGAGATAAATGTTTTCAGACAGACCTGGATTTACTGACAGGTATCAAGAATATCTACAACATGTACGAGAATCTGAAAACTCCAGCAGTTCTTTCCTACGAATTAAAGAAGGAGAATTTGAGTCTTCCTCCACATTATTTTGGCCTGCAAAAACTGATCAGCACATTTCAGGTAGATTTGACACTAGATCCAGAAACTGCCCACCCTAATCTGATTGTCTCAAAAGATGGAAAAAGTGTGATACTTAGGAAGATGAACCCCAACACTATGTTTAATCTTCAGACCTTTCATTTCTATGCAGCTGTCCGGAGTCATGAGCAATTTGATGCTGGGAGACACTTCTGGCAAGTGGAAGTAAAAGGCACAGGGACATGGTCGCTGGGTGTGTGTAAGGAATCTTTTCCCAGAGATGCTCTTACAGTGCCATCTCCACAGAAGGGATGCTGGCACATTCAGTACCTCACTAGCACGCGCAGTACAAGGAAGACAGTGCATGTCATGCGAATTGGCATTTTTCTGGACTATGACTTGGGAGAGGTTTCGTTTTATAATCTGAATAACAGATCATACTTGTATACTCTCACTGGTACGTTCACAGAAAAGCTTATGCCTTATTTCTCTATCGAACAGTCTTCAAAATCTCTTGCAATCAGGATTGTCACAGACCAAAGATGAAGTACTTAGAGGACTTGTTTGTGCATGGTTATCTTTTCTTCTTGTGTTCTTGGAGGTGTCTTGTAATAAAGATTCTGGTTCCATTTTTTATGTTTGATTGACTGGTATTTTGAGGGACTCACCCTTCTTTCTTACAACCTGCCAGTGGCAAAACTGATGAGGAGGCCCAGCTGCTCCCTCCTATGCTATAGGTGGGAGGTTCAAACCAAGCCAGGCCCTGGTAGAGGGGGAACCCTCCCAGCAGCCCCGTCCTTGCACCACCACCACAAGCCCAATCTAGTCTCCTTTCCCTCCTCTATTAAGTCACTTGTGGCCCTACTCTGTAGGTACCCTCATTTCCCACAAAGCTAGTTATGCAATTACTGATCTTTTCCATACCTTCTTGCTATGTGTGTTGCATTGTCAATATTAACAGTAAACCGAGTCGTGGTTGAAGGTCTATTCCCATCAGTTGGTGTTGGGAGAAGGATTATTGAGATGGTGGCTTCCACTCTGAGGGGGCTTCTTTTCTTACTTTGGTTAGCTAGTTGGCTCTGCCGCCCCCTGACAAGTGGCACTTCCAGCTCTGCTGTTTTGTGCTGCATTTGCTGAGTTTTCCTCAGGCTCTGTTAGATGTGCAACTGAGCTAAGTCAGAAGTTTTGATGATTATTGGTATGTAGGGAGAGAAGCAAGGAATCAGTTCTCTCTTAATGTGGCTGTGGGCCATGTGCCTCATTCAGACCTATCTCTCTATTTTAGAATTCAGCATAATTTGTGACTAATGTAGGTTCATGTCAAGGTCCCTAACCTGTGACCATTCAGAGATGTGTCTCCACCAGGCATTGGCCCCTGTTCCATAGAGCACTCAAGGGAAACATTCTATCCTATGTCATATATGGGCCTATTTGGTGTCACCTTTTCGGAGCAAGAAGAGTCCCTATTGTGAGATCTAGCATTAATTAGTTGTAGATATGAATTATTGATGTCTTAGGCCCTTTATGTTACTATGACAGAATACTTGAGACTAGGTATTTAATAAAGACAAGAAATTTATTTTTCAATGTTGTAGGTGTTAAGAGTCCAAGATCGAGGCACCAGCATTTTTGTTTTCTGGTAAGGGCCTAGTCTCCAAGATGGCACCTTCAGAGCTGCATCCTCTGGAGGGAGAAGCACATTTCCTCCTGTGTCAGAGGAGGAGCAGGAGGGGTGCCAGTCACTCCTCAAAGCCCTTTGGGTTTTGGCATTAAGCCTTTCAGCAGAGTTGAAAGGGTTCAGCAGAGTTCAGCAGTAACTCCTTCCTCGTGAGTTAAACACCTCCTGTTAGGCCTCAGCTCTCAACACTGTTGCTTTGGTGATATTTTACAAAGCATGACTTTTGGGGAGACAAACATTCAAATAATAGCAATTGAGGTCCACAGTCCTAAAAGCAGATGGCTACCCAGGATCCTACCAATACCTTTACTGCTTCTGTTGTTACTCTCAATATCTTTGTCACAACAAAGATCTTGGTCATCAGGGTTATAGGCAGAAACAGAAAGCACCACTGTGGCACACTGAAGTGGTTAATTCCAAGAAGACTTCCCTCAGGATTCTTTTCTTCTTATTTTTAAACTTCAGAATATTATGGGGGTACAAACATTTTGATTACAAATATTGCCTTTGCATGACCCAAGCCAGAGCTACAAGCATGACCATCGCCCAGACAGTAAGCTCTGCACCCATTAGTTGTGAATTTACCCATCCCCTCCAATCCTCGCCCACCTGCCTGACACCCGATGAATATTACCTCCATGTGTGCACCTAAGTGTTGATCAGTTAGTACCAATTTCATAGTGAGTACACATGGTGCTTGTTTTTCCATTCTTGTGATACCTTACTTCAAAGGATGGGCTCAAGCTCCATCCAGGACAATACAAGAGGTACTAGTTCACCATCGTTTTTTTATGCTTGAGTAGTACTCCATGGTATACATATACCACATTTTATTAATCCACTCATGTACTGATGGACATTTGAGATGTTTCCACATGGTTGCAATTGTGAATTGTGCTGCTATAAATATTACTACAATCTATATGGAATTTAGGAAAATCAACAAGAAAAAAAATCAATCAACCCCATTAAAAAGTGAGCAAAGAACATGAACAGAAACTTTTCAAAAGAAGACAGAATAATGGGCAGCAAACAGAAAAAAATTGTTCAGCTGGGTGCCGTGGCTCACGCCTATAATCCTAGCACTCTGGGAGGCTGAGGCAGGAGGATGGCTCAAGGTCAGGAGTTTGAAACCAGCCTGAGCAAAAGTCAGACCCCGTCTCTACTAAAAATAGAAAGAAATTAATTGGCCAACAAAAAATATGTAGAAAAAATTACTCGGGCATGGTGGCACATGCCTGTAGTCCCAGCTACTAAGGAGGCTGAGGCAGTAAGATCTCTTGAGCCCAGGAGTTTGAGGTTGCTGTGAGCTAGGCTGACACCACAGCATTCACTGTAGCCTGGACAACCAAGCGAGACTCTGTCTCAACAAAGAAAAAAAAAATGTTCAACATCTCTAATCTCGAGGGAAATGCAAATCAAAACCACAATGAGATATCACTTAACTCTAGAATGGCGTCTTTTTTTTTTTTTTTTTTTTTTTTTTATGAGACAGAGTCTCACTTTGTTTCCCAGGCTAGAGTGAGTGCTGTGGACTCAGCCTAGCTCACAGCAACCTCAAACTCCTGGGCTCAAGCAATCCTGCTGCCTCCCGAGTGTCTGGGACTACAGGCATGTGCCACCATTCCTGGCTAATTTTTTCTATATATATATTAGTTGGCCAATTAATTTCTTTGTATTTATAGTAGAGACGGGGTCTTCCTCTTGCTCAGGCTGGTTTCTAACTCAAGACCTCAAGCAATCCATCAACCTTGGCTTCCCAGAGTGCTAGGATTACAGGCGTGAGCCACTGCCCCCGGCCGAGAATGGCTTTTATCAAAAAGTCCCAAAACAACAAATGCTGGTGTGGATGCAGAGAGATAGGAACACTTACACACTGCTGGTGGGACTACAGACTAGTACAACCTCAGTGGAAAGTAGTATAGAGATACTCAGAGAACTAAAATTAGGACTACCATTTGATTCAGCAATTCCACTACTAGGCAGACACCCAAAAGAACAAAAGACATTCTATAAAAAGGACATCTGCACTAGACTGTTTATAGGAGCACAATTGACAATTGCAAAGATGTGGAAACAACCTAAGTGCCCATCAATACATGAATGGATTAATAAAATGTGGTATATGTATTCCATGAACCTCTACTCAGCCACAAAAACAACGGTGATCTAGCACCTCCTATATTATACTGGAAAGAGATTGAGCCCATCCTTGAAAGTGAGGTATCACAAGAATGGAAAAACATGCACCACATGTACTCATCATCAAATTGATACTAACTCCCGTTTCCGACCTGGACCGGTTCGCCCCTCCTTAGGCAACCTGGTGGTCCCCCGCTCCCGGGAGGTCACCATATTGCTGCCGACCTTAGTGTGGACACGCGATCCGCACAGCACACTACAGCCCAGAACTCCTGGGCTCAAGCGATCCTCCCGTCTCAGCCTCCCAAGATGGGAGTAGCTGGGACTACAGGCGCGGGCTGCCTCGTCTGGCAAATTGATACTAACTACCAACAATAAGTTGTTCACTTGGTAGTAATACTCATTGGGTGCTGGTCAGGTGTGTGGGGGGGGCGTGGGGGCATAAAGCCACAACTAATGAAAGTGAAATGCACTGTATAGGGGAGGGACATGCATGTAGCCCTGGCTTAGGTGGGACACATGCATTACATGTAACCAAAATGTTTGTACTCCCATCATATACTGAAAAAATAAATAAAATGAAAAAAAAAATAAATCCCCACTTGATATTCATGAGTTTATATTTTATAAGGACAATCTTTTTATAGATTTGTAGCATAGTATGAAATATTTGATTTTTACAAGAATATATGTGAAATTTTAGTAATGAATTGTAAATTCTGATGCACCCAATGAATAATGTTCCAAAAAATTGTAACACTTTGTAGAATGTCAGGGCTCAGTGAATGCTTCCTAGAGAACAACACACTGGGCTGGGGTCTGAAGAAAGAGTGTGGGTATATGCACACCTAATGGGTGTGGTGCACACCATCTGGCAGACAGACACACTTGAAGCTCTGACTCGGGGGGGCAAAGGCAATATATGTAACCTAAACATTTTACCCCCGTAATGTGCTGAAATTTTAAACATTTTTTATTTTTTTTCTCCTGCGCCATCAGATCAGAATAAAAAAGATTTTTTAAATAAAAAGAAAGAGTGAGTGTAATAGGGGAAGAAACAATGTATATGGGGCATGAGCTTCCCATAGACAAAAGCTGTCTGTGCAAAGGTCCTGAGACACAAGAACTGCCTGTGCTGAGTGTGAGTGTGGAAGGGAGGGATGAGACTGAGACTGGTGTGGGGAGAACAGACTGTTCAGGCTCTTTGGGGACATGGTAAAGAGTTTGCTTCTTTCTAAGAGTTCCAGTTCCAAAACAGCTGTTCCAGTATTTTAAGGAGCATGGTCAAAGTTGCCATTTGGAAAAAGACACCATGCAGGGAATGGAAAGGCATGAGGCAGAGAGAAGAGAAGCAAATCAGTGAAGAGGCCACACAGTGCAGGCTGGTGGAGACGGTCCTGTAGTAAATTGAACTCAATGGGACTTGGCACTGGCCTCAGGATGGGGCAGGGCTAAGGACTGGAAAGAGTGGGGTCATGTTAATGGCTGCTGCACCAACCCTGTGGGGCACAAACAGGACAAGGAGTCAGCAGATGCCCAGAGCCCAGGACACTACACCAACCACTGTTGCCTCTTGGCCCTGGGCTTCTTGCTTCATCCTGAAACCAGTGTCCTAATCACCCGTTTCCTCCAAGGGTTCCTATGCCCAGAAGCTTCATTTCTTGGAGACAATGATTCAGGGAGCGTGAACCATGAGCAGCAGCACAACTGTCTCCTTGGCTTGGAACTTTTCACCTACTCTTCCTGGGTGTCAGGCAGGCCCAGGGTTGTCT